AAAGGAGAACTTGGGGACTAGCCCCTCGGGGCAGGAACTTGACTGCCTTTAGTACACGGCCCCCACCCCCCTCAGACCCAAGATAGCAGGGGCCTTCCTGAAGACACTGCGCCCTTACCATCTGTTCCCCTGCAGCAATAAATAGATGGTGTGCATGCACCTCGAGAGGTTCTCCAGTTCCCCCTCCCAAAGCAGCCAGGGCAGGGCCAGGAGCCTGGAGAGAATGTTCCTCATAGAGGCTGGTGTGGACACACACACACACACACACACACACACACACACACACGGCTATGGGCATGTCCACACACCGCACAGATGCACATGCCACAGGTCCATGCATCCACATGAGTACGTGAGCCCCAGCATGGCCATGCGCTCCATGCATGTGAACACATAGCCCTTCTCTCCCAGCCCTGCTGAGGGTAGCAGCGCTGAGCCGAGCCCCCTGGACAGAGTGCAGGGGACTGTATAAAGCACATCAGAGCCAGGCTGTGCAGAGTGGTGAGGACCGGGCGCCCCAGGCCACACCTGCAGGGAGCCCCACAGGCCTCTGCTTCCTGTGCATCTGTGCCACACGTGTGAAAACCACACGCCATCTTGCCTCCTGGCTGCTACTCAGAGCAAGGCTGAAATGAACAAGGGGAGGGGCGTGGAGCCAGACCCAGGTTTCACCCCGTGTCCCGTCACGCTGGCCCCAGGACCTTGGGGCGCTGCTGTCTGGACAGGCAGACTCAAAAAGGAGAAGGCCCACCCTTTGAAAGATGAATGATTCCATCTTTTCTTTCTTAACCAAAGAGACTCACCGAAAGTCACCCCTGCCGCACGCACCTCGCCCAGGCCCTCACCACCAAGCTCCGGGTGAAACTAACCCTAGAAGGTCACCGCCTATGAGCAGCTGTGCTGGGGGGGGGGGGGGCATGTTAGTTTGCATAGTGGGTTCTGGGCGTCTGGACAGGAAAAAAGCTGGTGACACAGCAGAGCTGGGGGAACCCCAAGAGCAGGGAAGCAGAGAAGCTTTTACTCCCAAATGCCACCTCCCAATTCTGCCACCCAGCTCCCCTACCCCCACCCCAATCTCCCATGGGTCACGCTGCTGCTTTCTGCTAACCAATCCAGAAACTACTTCCCTAGCTACGTCCAGGGTCAACCCTGGGACCAGACCCAGAAGCCAAACATACACATTCTCGGCTCGCTTGTGCCTCTGCCCCCACCCCACCCCCATAAGTGCTGGGTGCCCCACGTGGCATCTACATTGAGTGCCATTGCCCCATCCTCTCCCCTCTCCACACTGCAGGCTCCTGGGGCCAGAGTCCAGCACAAGGCCGCCTCCTGTAGGTCAGAGTAGAAAGGACTATAGTCACAGGGTTTTCGGTGACTGACCTCTGGGGTATAAACGGCCGGGCCTGGCTCCTGAGACATCTCTGGGAAAACCCAAACTCCAGCTGCTGAGCACATCAACCGTACACCCCTGGGGTCTCCAGTGCATCTTCTATACAGAGCAGATGGCGGGGAGTAGACGCACCCCTGCTGTCTCACCAACCTTCTCCGGGATGGTAGGGCCTCGCTGGTGCCAGTCACGTCCCCTCTCTGGACCTGGGGTTGTTCTTCTGTAAAAAGAGCAGGAGCCCCGCGCCTTGTATTCTGTGGCTCTAAGTCTGACTCACTCTCCTCCCCACGGGGCTGGCTCAGCTGCACACACCCCCAGCGTGCCCTCCCCCCACACACACCCCTCTCCAAACTGTCCCAAGCCCTTGACTGGGGGGAAGGAGTTGGGGAAGAGGGTGGTGGTGCTAGACTCTAACCAAAAACACCTCTCCATCAACACCGTTCCAGCTCTTACATTTGCGACAGGACCCGTGTGTTCCTTAAAAAGAGAGAGAGAGGGGCACAGATGAGCAGTGGAGTAAAAGACCCAGGCCAGAAAAGGCGGGAGGGAGGGACGTGGGACCGGAAGGAAAGGCAGCGAGGAGCCCAGGTGGCTCAGGGCCTCCAGCTGCTCCGGTCTGTGCAGCGGAGCCAGAGCCTTACTGCCCCATGATGCTCTCTGCCCCAGGTGGGAGGAAACAGCCCACACTCTGCAGGGGCTGCTGGGGAGAGCCCAAGGGAAGGGGGCCCGGATGCTCTATTGCCGTGTTGTGTGTGTGTGTGTGTGTGTGTGTGTCTATTTCAGTAATATCACCTTGAACTTCTTGGAGCACTTTTGCACGCCCTACAAGTGGGATAGGGTCTGGATTGGTTTGGGATTAATATCACCGCGTCTCAACACTGAGCAACGGATGCCCTAAAGAATAACTTACTAGTCCTAGGTTACCCTGCAGGGTTGATGACGGAACTGTAAGTCAGGGGCATGCAGGCATGGGGCTTAAAAGGAAAGAGACATCAGTCTACTAACAGGTCGTTTTCCAGCACCTGCCGTGCACCAGGGAGCCCTCGTGTCATTGTGGTTACATCTCAGGCTGCTAACTGCAAGCTCAGCAGTTCAAAACACCAGCCTCTCTGCAAAAGAAAGACTAGACTTTCTAATCCTGTGAAGAGTTAGTCTCAGAAACCCACCGGGACCGTCCACCTTGTCCTCCAGGCCGGCTGTGAGTCAGCATTGGCTCAGGGCAGGGAGGTTTTTGCTCTGTTGTTGTTGATTCTTCAGCTCAGGCAGCAGAAGGGATGTGTGATGGTGCATGTTGCACTAAGACCCTGCTGGAGCAGCACCAGTCCAGAACACCATAGGTTCTGGACAGAGGCTCGAAAAGGGGGGGTTTAGGGATAAGCAAGGTGGGCCTCTCAGGTTCTAGACCCATAGAAGTTCTAGACAGTAGCATGCAGTCAGCAACCTGCAGAGGCATCCCGGCCTTGGGCACCCCTCGCCCCTGCAACCGTGGCGTCCGAGGGCGCACATGCTTGTGTGTTTGGACTTCGGCCTGCCCTTCTCTTCTCCCTCCGCTCGGCTCTCGTGGTCGGTTTCCAACCAGATGGCTGAAGCTGAGCAGCAGTGGGGGTTGAGCTGTGTACCAGGTGCTCTACACTGGAGTGGGGGGGAGGGTGTTGTGTAGCCGGCCTCCCGGTGACCACACCATCGGCCCCCATGACTCCCCACTCGACCCCACTCCTGCAGGTGATCGTGTACGTGGAGGATGTCAATGACGAGGCCCCCGTCTTCACACAGCAGCAATATAGCCGCCTGGGGCTCCGGGAGACGGCGGGCATCGGGACCTCAGTCATTGTGGTCCGGGCCACCGACCGGGACACTGGTGAGGCGGGTGGGAAATGCCAGGGCCCCCAGTTGTCCCACCCACTCCCACAAATACCCAGAATTCTCAGACTCCCCCTTTCAGCCACCATCACCCCTCCCCATCCCCACCAGGGAGGACTCCTGGCCTGGCCTTGGTCTCACCCCATCAGATGGCCAGGCCTAGAAGGTCTGGAGCCCTCTGGACTTGTCCCAAGCTCTGGGTAGAGAGGAGAGACCACAGCCAGGGAAGGGCCGCATCTGTCACCCTAGGACCCGGCAGCTCCCGGTGACTGTTGGCTCGGGCTGGCCAGGGCTGGACGGAGGCTCCCACTAGGTTGGCAGGAAGCTGCCTGGGACTGTTCCTATGTCTCACAGGGCCAGCTCAAAGCTCACCAGCTGTAGTCCATGTAACATGAAATAGAAGCATGCACTGTCACGGTGGCCCTCTGCATGGCGTCTGGGCTGTCTGGGTCTTTGTCCCTAGCCAGAGAGGAGCTCTTTTGGGGGGTCCACCCACCCCCACCCCCTGTGTCTCTATTTCTCTCTAATTAGTAGTCCCACCACCATGACACCCCTCCCTGTCTCTCTCTCTCTCTCTCTCTCTCTCTTACACACACACACACACACACACACACACACACACACACACACACACACACACCTGAAGTACCTTCCCTCCCCTCCTGTCTGAACTGTTGCATGCTGAGGTAGCACCTTGCCATGCCCTCTTGAGCATCTCACCTGGGACTGGGAGAAGATGGAGAGAGTCCCAGGTGGCTCATTCTCGAGAGAGAGCCCATTCACATAGTTGCAGCCACACCACTCCCCACAGGCCCGCAGCTCATGCATCAGGAATCCCTTTGAAGAACCAATCATCCCCCCAGAGAAACCCACCCAGTTTGCAAGAGACTTCAGGAAAGCCTTAGGTTTCCCGAGAGGCTGTTTGCCCGTCCTTGGTCCCGCCTCTGCACCAGAAGTCATGTGAGCATCCAGCTCCAGTCCCTAGTGCACAGAGCCTCCCCAAGGCGCATGCGTGTGTGCAGGGAATGAGGAGAGCACAGGGAGGTGTCCCTGCCACCACAGCCCTTCAGTTCAAGGGACCAGATTAAGGCTTGGCGACCTCTGGGTGGTACCCTTTCTAGATCAGAGCTCTAGAGCCTCTCCAGTAGATCCCCAATTCTCCATCTTTGTGGTTCTCCAAGGGAGGTCCTGAAGCTCAACTTGTGGGGCTCCAGGAGTAGAACAAGCCCTGCAGGCGCAATGATTAAAGCACTCACCACTAACCAAAGGGTTGGCGCTTTGAACCCACTGGGAGCAAGATGAGGCAGTCTGCTCCTCTGAAGGTGTAAGGCTTTGGAAACCCTGTGGGGCAGTTCTGCTTGGTCACACAGGATCGCTTTGAGTCAGAATGTGCCCAGCCACAGTGGGGTGGGGTTTGCTTGTTTGTTTGCTTGTTTGTTTGTTTTGGTGTTTAAGAGCAAAACCAGGCCTCTCTCATGTCATGCCAAGCCCCTAAGAGAAATAGAGCCCAACTTCCACCTGTCTCGAGATGGTGTAGATCCATAGAGGTGGGGTAGACCAGCCGAGCCCCCCTCCCTCCACCTTGTCTTCAGGGATGTCACCAGGGGCGGGGTGGGCAAGTTAGGGGGTGACAGGGCAGCCTCATTCCCCCTGGGACTGCATCGACACCCCACTCCCCGTGCTCCCCTGCAGGGGACGGCGGCCTGGTAAACTACCGCATCCTGTCGGGAGCGGAGGGGAAGTTCCAGATTGACGACAGCACGGGGCTGATCATCACTGTGGACTACCTGGACTACGAGACCAAGACCAGCTACCTGATGAATGTGTCCGCCACCGACCAGGCGCCCCCCTTCAACCAGGGCTTCTGCAGCGTCCACGTCACGCTGCTCAACGAGCTGGACGAGGCCGTGCAGTTCTCCAACGCGTCCTACGAGGCCACCATCCTGGAGAACCTGGCCCTGGGCACCGAGATCGTGCGGGTGCAGGCCTACTCCCTCGACAACCTCAACCAGATCACCTACCGCTTCGACGCCTACACCAGCGCCCAGGCCAAAGCTCTCTTCAAGATCGACGCCGTCACGGTGAGGAGGGCCGAGGGGCGCCCGCCGCACGTCCTGAGCCCACCAACACTCCTCAAACCCTGTGGCCGGTCCCTTTGCAGACTCCGTGCTGGGCCTGGGCTCTGCGTCCACACACCCTGGGTCCTTGTTATTGGATGAGAACCATGCAAGTGTCACCATCCCCTTTGTCCCGGGGCGGTTTGGGTGCTTGGATGGGGCTCCACTGAACTAAATGGCGAAGTTTCTGGGGCCACCATCTCAGCACCTGGCACCCCACCTACTTCCTCTTTTTGCTCCTCCAGCTTGGCATCAGTGGGTCTTTCAGTGGGACCCAGCTCAATCTTACAGCGGGCAGGACATGCATGTCCTGTGGGGCACTGGGGAAGACAGGATGAGCCCGATCCTGCTACCCACTCAGAGCAGGCTAGGCTCAGGCTAGGAGAGGGACGTGGGGTTAACCAAGGCTTCAAACCAGAGCACCAGGAGAACCGAGGCACCCAGGACCTGAGTAAGAGGGTGACCGCCCTGAGGGGGGAGCAGGGCGCCATCCAGGAAGAGGTGGTGGCTGGCTGGGATCTGAGAGAGAAGTTGAATGCCAGCCGACAGAGCCAGCAGGGCCGAGGGAGTGGTGCAGAGGTGGGAGAGTGGGCAGGACATCCAACCACTAACTGGGCCGTGGGCCTGCAGAGGGTCCGATGACATCATCCTTCACTCCACTGGGCCCCTCCCTGCAGGGCGTGATCACAGTCAAGGGCCTGGTGGACCGAGAGAAGGGAGACTTCTACACCTTGACGGTGGTGGCAGACGATGGTGGCCCCAAGGTGGACTCCACTGTGGTGAGTGGGTGCCTAGGGGAGGGCTCCCCAGGTGCAGCCTGTCACTGCCCCAAGACATCCCAAACCCGTGTCTTCATCAGCCACACAACGGCATGTAGCCGGGCAGAGGGCAAGGGTCTCAAAGCCCAGGCCAAACCATGAGGGCCCAGCGAGACTTGCCCCAGAATCACAGGCCTGGACCCCATGTGGGAGCCCTAGGGAATGCGGGTGGCCATGGGCACTTCCTGGGCACCCAGGAGGGACAGGGAGGAGGCCTCAGGCAGGCAGGGTAGCACTGCCAAACCCAGGCGCCTAACCATCTGCATCTCTGCTCTTTCTCTCCTTGACCACCTGCTGCCTCTGCCTGCAGAAGGTGAGTAGCCTGTGGATTGGATTTTCCCCCCTGAGCCCTTGGCGCTGGCCAGTGCTGGCCTGGGCCCCACACAACCAGAGCTTCCCACCCTCCCCCAGAGAGAGAGCATGGGGACAGGCCTACAGCAAGTGCCAGCTCAGACCTTCGCTGGCCTCCCCAGTCCAACCATACTTGCTCCCTGAGCCCTGACCCACCTCCAGTCCTGTACCTAAGTCCAGCCCTACCCCAGGGTCCCAGCCAGTCCACTGTCCTTCCCGGGCCTTGCTGGGTGTGGTGACAGAGGGGTCACTGGAACACACCGGGAAGAAAGGCTGCGGCCTGCTCCCAGCTCCGCTCTTTGCTGCGCAGTGGAAGCAAGCTGCCCGGCCTCCCTGGGCGTGCTCTGCTGCGAGTGTGACAGGAGGCGTCCTCCGAGGATGTGAGGGAGATGGATGGGAGCATCCTCTGAACCCCTCGCCACGCCTGAGGGGCGATCCGCACAGGGACCCCGCTTGGCGGGTCACAGACTGTGTGTGTGATGCTCACAGGCGTGTGAGCGGTGGACCGCGTGTTCGGGGGAGGGCCTCTCTGAGTGCAGTGTGTTGCCTCTGGGTTGGGGCAATGAACCCAAGGATAGGAAGGTTCCATTCTGGGAGCATAAGACAAGGGAGCTTTGAAAAGTTTGTGGGGGAAATTCCATGACCTTGCCTTTTCGTTTCTCCATGGACCTTTCGAAGCCCCTTGTGTGATGGAGGAAAGCCGTGGCCCAAGTGACCACAGGAAGAAATGCGTGACCTGGGAGGGCCCCGCCTGCCCTCTCCAGCTGCCTCGCCCGCGTGGAAGGCAGCAGGCACAGGGACGGCGGGTGGGAGTGCCTTGGGGGGGTGTGTGCCTGAGAGGGGCCCCGCTCTGGCTGGGGCCCTGAGGTGATCACCTGTGTGCCCATGTGGGGTGTCCAGATCACCGTCAGCCTTAGTTATGACCACATGGTCACCCCACGAGCCCCTTGCACTTCAGTCTGAAGCCCACCAGTGTCCGAGGTAAGAGCCAAACCCTGCCGCGTGGAGTCCTCGGTTCCCAGGTCCTTGGATGCAGGGCTCCGGCGGCTCTGCCTGTGTTTTGGCTGGACCTTCTATCCCTGGGCCAGTCTGGGGATGAGGACAGCGTTCAACCCACGGAGGTGGCAGAAGGCATCCAGGGAACAGAGCCTTTGGGTAGGTGCCCTGTCCTGCAGCTCCCAGCAAGGGTCCTATGACAAGAGCCTTCCCAAGCCTGCGCTCAGTAGCATTGTCTAATTGCCCCAGTTCAACGGCCTCACTGAGAAGATGAGCTCAGTGCTCCCCGCACCGCAGAGGTCATAAGGAATCCGGGTGTCAGAGTGAGATGGTAGGGTGTCCCCTGGGCCGCTGGGGCCCCTCCCTCTGCGGGGGCCCACTTCCTCCCTGTGGGCAGGCCAGGGTGCCTCGGAGCCTCGTGCTCTGCTTCCAATCAGCTCGCCCTTTTCCGGGAAACAGGACCCCCCCCCCCACCCCCGTCCTCCGCCCCAGGCTTCCTCCCGAAGGCTCCCAAGGTCAGCATGGTATCAGATGGTGCTGGAGGGGGAGGGGGAGTGGAGCAGGTTGAGGAGCCTTTTAAAGATGACTTTGTATGAGCTGCAAAGCCAGAACCCCCAAACCACAGCTCACCTCCACCTGACGTTCCTGGCCCCAGCAGCCCCTGCAGACTCGGGGAGTGGGGGGAGGGGGAGGGAGGGCCAGGCCTGGGGAGATTGCCTTCAGAGCCCGTGGGTAACGCCCTTAGGTCCTGGGGTGGGGGTTGAAGGGCGGCATTTGGACCAAGAGGTCCTGGGTGGGGACACAGACCGTGTCTAATTCCGCTAGACTTTGTCCCCTGGCCTCCCCCTTAGCCCACTGAGTTGACTGCCCCTAAGTGGCCCTCAGCCCTCTCAGGCCCACCGCACAATCACCATCAGCAGAGTAACCATCGTGGAGAGAGCACCGACCAGAGCCCTGCTGCCACCGTGAGCCTGAGATGACAGCTGTTGTTAGAGGTGTCATGGTGACCCTGAGTGACAGAGTAGAACACCCCCTGAGGTCTCTTGGCTACAATCCTGATGGAAGCCAATTTTCCCACAGAGCCTGGGTGGACTCAAACCCCACCGCCTTTCAGCTTGCAGCTGAGCACTTAGCCACGCGCGGTCCCAGGGCTCCTTTAAGAAATAGTAGGAGAAAGCTATGGGTCGGATGATCACACCCATCAATGCCCATGCCAAGGAGGACCCGCTCACAAGATGTCACCCAACCCGGAAACCAAGGAGGGCTGCCCTGAGGCGGTGACTCAGCTGAGACCCTCAGGATGCCCACGAGTGAATGCCACAAAGAGGGCAGGGTGTCTCGGGCAGAGGGGTCAGCAAGTGCAGAGGCCCCGTGGTGGGAGGAAACCTGGGGAGTCTGCCAAGGCCGTGACCAAAGGGGGGCATTGGGGAGAGCTCAGCCCACGGGGCCTTGTTCATTTGCACGTGGCGGCCCTGCAGGACAGGGTAGAACTGCCCCCCTGGGAGTTTCTGAGACTGTAACGCTTTTTATAAATCATTTTATTGGGGGCTCTTACAGCTCTTGGAACAATACATACATCAATTGCATCAGGCACATGTGTCCACATGTTGCCATCATCATTTTCAAAACATTTTCTTTCTACTTGAGCCCTTGGTATTGGCTCTTCTTTTTTCCCTCCCTCCCCCACCCTCCCACCCTTGTGAATCCTTAATAAGTTATAAATGTTATTATTTTCTTTTTTAAAAAACTTTTTTATTTTTTTTAAAGCATTTTATTAGGGGCTCATACAACTCTTATCACAATCCATACATACACCAATTGTGTAAAGCGCATTTGTACATTCATTGCCCTCATCATTCTCA